AGCCTCTATGTAACTACTTGTATAAATTACCAATAAAGATATGAGCAAGGCCTCACCTTAAAAAAAAAAAAAAAAAAGAAAAAAAAAAATAAAATTTATTAAGAAATTCAAAATTTGGCATTTAATATATAAAAAAAAGAAACTCATATATTATTTTTGACTAATCACAATTGGTTATATTATATTAGCCAATTAGAATTGAGTATTTATTTTAAAATTTAGCACCAGGGGTGTTGGTTTATGCTGTCTTGCACTGTATAACTAATGCAACCTTAGCATATCCCTATTGTAAGGTAATCTTTTAACATAAAAGTTCTTTTTGACATATGACTAACTTTATAAACAATTGAGATCTATATACTGATTTTCTGTTAGTAGCACCATTTATAGGATGTGACTATAAACAAATACATGGTTGCAATCTACTAGGTCATTTAAATTTGAAAGGAATAAACAATATTAATCTTTTGACAAGAGTAAGCTATTTTGCTCACTTTTTATAAAAATTTTGTAGAAGAAGCAAGTGAGTAATAGTATAGAAAATAGTACTCATATTCTTCTTTAAAGAACATATATATTTTTCTAAAAATAGTAGAATATATAAGGCCAGATTAACTGCTGACTTTCTTGTTGGTAGTTGATAAACCCTAAATTGTTAGCAAGTAGTGTATGAGAACTACTTCTAAATAACAAATACTATCCTTATAGTAAATAATAAGCTCTAAGCCTATTAGCAGGTAGTATATAAGAACTACTCTAAATAACAAGTGCCAGTTTATGAATTTTATTAGTCTTATATCACTCTTTACTACCATAGTTTATTGTTTTTTAAGAAAAAAGTTTGTTGTGTTTTTGGTATGAGAAATCATTAGAAAGAGTTGATTCCAAATTATATTATTTACAAATAATAAGGAAAAGTAATATTATTATCTTTATTAAAAGCCTTTTTGAATTGTTTTTAAATATATTTAATTATAGTAATAAAAGTAATAATAAACAAACTACTGCTTCAAACTATTTTTTAGCCAAAGCAAAGTAAAAGCTTTTTGAAATAATATATTATTATTTACTTTCTATAAATGCTAGCTTTAACAAGTATCAAAATATCATACATGGCCAAATAATCTAATTTTACTAGTTTGCAATTCTTATAACAATTTTATCAAATATATAAATAATAATCTAAACCAAAAAGATATAAAATCAGATATTTTAAATTTGCTAAAAATAGTAATATTGTTATATAAAAGCATATAATACTAATCTTATCTATAGATATAGTAAATATTTTTAGTAATACAAATAACAAATAACTTTGTAAAATAAAGCTATAGCCAAATCTTAGTAAATATTCAAAGCTAAAAATTCATACACAAAACCATTAGCTAAATTGGCCTTGTTAAATCTGGTTTGTTATAGTATTGTCAAGCAGACAATTTTGCTTAAAAGAAAAGCTAGTACAGGTTATATAACATTTAGTATAATAATAAAAAGTGTAGTTAAAAATGCTGAGGATAAACTTAATTATACTGTATTGAATATAATAAAATTGTAGTATCTATAGTGCTTTTTAAAGTTGTTTATAATAAATTAGTGCTTGTAAAATAATAAAATAAAGCAAAAATTTTTAATAATCGTTTTTTCTTGTATTGTACGTATGTACGCGTCATGAAAATTTCTAGATTTGATATCAGGTGTTCGATTTCCATAATGGTTACGCAAAGTTAATCAATCTATTTTATATGAATTTGGAAATATTAACACCCTACCCTTAAATTTTTATTACTCGAAAGATTTATTGTAATATATCCTGTATTTTGGTTAATGTGCTGCGTGGCAACATATAGAAGTGACATTAGATGAAAAATTTCCTATTATGGTAGATAAAATTGGGATCTTTGAGATTTTACGATCGGCCAATTCAGAAAAACTTAGACCGGAATATCGAGTCTTATTCACATGTAAATCATCATTGATTCAATAGTTTTTAGATAAACTATCGAATAAATAACAAAGAAATGGTATTCTGGTTTAAGTTTTTCCGGATTAGACCGATCGGAATATCTCGAAGGGTGATTTCCCAAGTCATAAAACGACAAAGTCGGAAAAGAGACTCGTTGACATTTAATGCGCGATATATTTTTCTCCAAATGTAAGTTTTGAAATGATTGCCAGAGGAAATTATACACTGTAAATCCAAGTTTTCTTTGCATAAAGGTCCTGTGATTTTGCCCAACATAAGGGATCCGTTCTTTTTACGATTTTGTTATAATACTTCAAGGTTGGGACATAGCGTATTTTCGCGAAATAACGCCCACCTGCGTGATATTTTGAGTAAATGCACGTTATTTAAAGTACGCGCATGGGCGTTCTTTTGAGACAAATATAAATATTCTCAAACCTGTCTGTTATATCAAATTATTATGTTGAAACCCTAATGTGGGTGCGCGTCATTTCGTGAACGTTATTTTAAACCATGCATGCTATTTTTAGGGGACACATTTTCTAAATAACGCCTATACCCGTTATTTCGCGAAAATACGGTATGAAAAAACAACCCAAACTTGTGATAATTCATCTCAATTTCATTTAAGAAAGCAGTAACATTATACAGTAATTATGCTACACCTTTTCGTGCTTGAAAAAATATTATTGTTATTAATTGAAGTATACGGAATCCATTACTTTCTACATTATTACATTATTAAACGCCCATCACCATTTCTATCTATTACATATAAATAGAAAAAAAGCTCAATATGAGCAATACAGTATTTTTTTTTTCTTATTTTTTTTTTTTTTTTTTTTTGTTTAGACCAAAAGAGGCATAATGTTTCAAAGAATAAATTATTAAATATCGTAAATCATTAGAAATAATAATAATAGCATCGTAAGTAAAAGCTCTTTTTATGAACAGTTAACAATTACTTTCAATAATCTATTCTGAAAGTTGACATTTGCTTCGAGGATTACAACATACTAAATTCATCAAAAGAAAGATGAATGTATGTATAAATATAGAAGGATATAGTTATCTTTCTTCAAACTGGATAAATAATAATCAAATGATTCGAAGGTCTAAGTCGATAGTTCTTTTTGTGAAATCTATATCCTTTCTTTAAAAATAATCTTTTTATCATTTTATAGTCCGTGTCTAACGACTTTTACAAGACCTACAACAGGTCTCACGTAGACTGCATACAGGACTGATGTAGCAATACTAGCTGAAACCGTGATAGTATTAACCAATGGTTTAACCACCAATGTATTCACAAGGGTGTCTTTCGTATGTATTTGTTGTTGCTGTTGTTCTGTCATCGTTATTGATGCTGTCATCGTCGATGGCGATGATGTCTGAGCTATGGCTCTTTCTTCGAGTGATGATGCTACTGATAATTGAGCTAACTGAGTTTCGAATGTCTGATAAAAGAGAAAAGTATTTGTTAATTTAGCGATTTATCAAAATTTATCAAATAAATAAACAATATTTACCGGCTCTGCCGCTATCAAGACTTGTGGACGAGTTTTTTGACTACATAATAAAAAAAATCAATTTAGAAAAGAACAGCATCTTAAAAAAGCTTTATAAATACCAAACCTTTCTGCAACACACAAATAAGAAAAAAAAGAAATAGGGTAAAAGCTTACGCACAACTGTCCTACGATCGATTTTAGTCCTTCTACCTCTTTACTTTGTTCATTAAGTTTATACTCTAATTGTCGAATAGTATCTTCCATACGACCGGCTAATAATCCGTCAAACTCTTCTTTTTGATAATTTACTTTTGCTTCTAATCGTCTCATAGTTTCTTCCATTCGTTCAGCAACTTCAAATTGACGAACCATTACCGATTCTAGTGAAGTAAGTTTAGCAATCTGTTGTGATTGCTCCTGAACTTTGGATTCTAGTTGGTCTTTTACATTGATCAGAGTTTCGTTGGTTGATTCTAATGAAGTTAATTTAACGATCTGTTGCGATTGCTCCTGAATTTTGGACTCTAATTGGTTTTTTAAGTTAGTTAAGGATTCATTGATAGTTTCCAATGATGTTAATTTAGCTATCTGTTGTGATTGTTCTTGGAGTTTGGATTCTAGTTGGATTTTAGCATTGTTTAAAGATTCATTTGCGGCTTGAAGTTCTTCGAGCTATAATAAATGAGCCAACAAATTATGAACATCAAAAATAGAAAATAAAAAATAAAGAAAACATGATAATAATAATAATAATAATGATACTGTAAAAAATTGCGAAATAACATACAATAGCGTATTATTCCATACGCGTTATTTCAAGATAAAGGCCAATTTTCTGAGATTGATTATTAAATTCGCCATAATATTATATGAAATGAGCGTTATTTCGAGACGCCATGGCGTTATTTTGATTTCGAAATAATGAACGCCCACGCTCGTTATTTCGCATTTTTACGGCAATAATAATAATAATAATAGTACCAGTAATTATTACTATTATTATTATTATTATTATTATTATTATTATTATTATTATTATTATTATTATTATTATTATTGTGAATAATACTAAAGTACACCAGTGGTAATATATTATAATAATTTTTACTATTAAAAATTGGGTTAGAAGTTAAAATTTAGAGGTTGCTGAGTATTCAGACACCAATAATTTTTAAGATATAGCAACCATGGTGTTAAATGCCGCTGGTGTTTTTAGTAAATTCTATTACGATTATTATTATATATATTATGTAATTACCTTTTGAATATGAGGATTCTCTTGAGTAATGTTAACTTGTTTTTCAATAATTTGTGGAATTGGAGATACAATTTGAGGTGTTTTTATAATTTTATTCTCAATATGATAAACCTGTTCACGTTTAATATCGTCCTCTTCAAGGTTATTATTATTGTGATCAATATCATGATTTAAAGAATTCTGAATTCTACTATCAGTATTGATGTTAGAAATTAAGAATTTAGACACCGCAGATGATTCAGACGGTGATGTTGATGACAAATGTTCGTGTTCATGGAAATTTAATTGTGTGGTAGTCGTTATAGAAGTTGCACCTTGGTCAGAATCATTTAAGCCATCTTCATTAGTAATTTCAACATCAATTGGATCTTTTATATTGTTACTAATTTCAGCTTTATTGACCTGATAATAGGAACCTTCTCTTATAATTTCATTACTAAGACTGTCAGAAGAAACTTGAGAGACAAGTTTTAACTCTTGTTCATTAACGGATAGATCCTCGTTAACAGATGTAGCAGGAGTGGAAGGATAATCAAGGTCATCATCTTTGAATTCATCATTTTGTTCAACAGGTTCAATCTTAAACTCTTCATTTTGTTCGACAGGTTCAATATTAAACTCTTCATTCTGCACAATAGGCTCAATATTAATTTCTTTTTTCTGTACAACAAGTTCGATATTTACTTCATCTTTCTGTTCATCTTTTTGTTCACCAGGTTCATTCTTAATTTCATCTTTCTTCTGTTCTGACGGTTCAACAATAATTCCATCTTTCTGTTCAATATTAGTTTCGTCTTTCTGCTCAACAGGTTCAACCTTAATTTCATCTTTCTGTTCAACAGATTCAACAGATTCAATCTTAGTTTCCTGAGAATGATCATTAATTACAGGAACTGAAGGGGCAAAAGTGGTTGTATGCGAAGTTTGAGAATCGGTTTGATTAGGTACAATCAATGTTCGTTTTAATATTGAAACAGGAGAATCTCGTCCACCGACAGAGCCGGAGGAGTCAATACGCCCTTTATAAGTTTTAATAGGGGAACCGTTAGTTTCTGGAAGGAACAAATCCGTTATGTTATTATTATTAAAATTCTTGTGCTTATGGTCATCATCAAGTCCTAATAATTTATCAATGTTCAAACTAATACGATTTTTTCTACCATTCTTTGACTTGTTTAAACCATTCTCATTATCTGAAAGTGGAGAATCGTTAATATTTGTTCTTTTATCTCTTTTCGCATGTTCCGTAGCTTCATCTTCATTATCTGAAAAAATAAAACTACGACGATTTTTTGACTTAATTTCACTACCATCATTGGTTTGCCTAGGGACAATACGATTCTTATTATCCACAATGTCCTTACGTTTTTCCTTTTCAGATTTAGATTTATGACTAAACATTCCTGATAATGTACGAGCCAAGCTTTCGCTTTTTTTCTCATCATTTGATCTTTGTTTTGACTCTAGCTTTTCTGTTACTGTATCTTTTTCTTCTCTTTTTAGTATATGACGGAGACCACGAGATTTTGATTTTTTACGTTTTGATTTATCTTTCTCTTCTTCAATCATTTGACGGTGTTCCGGTAAACTTTCGACGATCGTTACGCTACCGGATACAGAAGAAGCGTAACTTTTATCTCGTGGATGCTCCAAAGGACTCGATGAAGTGGATTTGTTTTCCACGTCAACCTCTTCAGCGTGGATGCCATTTCCTGGGTATTGGACAACGTCGATGGATGATGTCATGTTTGGTCCGGATAGATATTATATAAGAAAAAAAAAAAAAAACCAAGTAAAGGAGTGTGTAGAGTTATTATTCTATGTAATATTTACGAAAGAAGAGATGAAGAAAGAGATGAGGAAAAGGATGAAGACGAGAATAGCGAAAAGATGAAGAGGATAAAAGAATTGCCAAGAAATGTAAGGTTGAGCTTTGTGTGAATTAAGATTCTTGGGAAATGTTTGTACTTTTTATAATAGTTTAAAAATTGCTAAAATTAATGCTGTTTATTTATTTTTAACAAATTTCACATTTACACACCAATAATAATAATAATCCTATTAATATGCTTATCAGCTGTTCAACAAATAAAAAATAAACATTATGTCGCTATAGCAGAAATAGGCGGGAGATTGGCCATTGCTTTGCTTTACTAAGTTACTCGATTACGTTAATAAAAATTAAAACGCGTGCAAAATTATGTACATCAGATATCTTTAAGGTCCTTTGAAGCTTATTCTTTTGACAGAACGATTTTTAAACTATTATAAAAAGTACAAACATTTCCCAAGAATCTTAATTCACACAAAGCTCAACCTTAC